GTAAAGATTTATAGCCTCGGAAACCCTGTACAGGGTCGCTATGGGTTGGAACCGACTCGACGGCACTTAACAACAACAACTGAGTGAGTGTAACAGCTATAGAGTACCGAACTTAGACAGCCCTTATCTACTGTTTCTAGCAGCAAACTAACAAGACATGGAGCAAGGAAAAAGACCTCCCTGACTAACATGCCAATTTTGTTTTCCTCTCTGTTTCTCCAATGTTTGATTTTCCTGACAGAAGTACAGCAAGGGGGAAGATAGGACAGAGGTAGATTTTCCTCTAAAAATAGCCCATGATAAAATTCGATCAATCAAATCAATCTGGAAAGTTGAGTAACATTTCCAGATTCCAATATCATTCAGCTCAAGCTGAGTGGTGGTTTTTTAGTGTTTAGTTTACTTGAGACTTTTTGCTCTTCAGGGAATGAGAGGGGCCACTGGCATTGCTGGTTAAAAACAAACTAGTGCCAGTGACCCTGGACTCTGACACCCAGAGGCCCACAAGTGCTTTGGGTAAAACCTCTGACTTGTTCAACCAAGTTCCTCTCCCAGTCTCACTTACTGTAGGATTTCGGATGATTACCAAGCTGTGGGGTAGAGGTAGTCATAGAAACTGTTGGGGATGAAAGGACTGGAAGGGACTTGAGTTAAAAATCTTCTAGGTATCTTTTCCTTTTGAGTCCTTTCTTCTTTCCTCCCTCTCCGCCATCCTTCCCTGCCTTCTTCCTTTGTTCCTTCCTTCAACTACTCCAGAAAGGAAGAAGTTGGAATGAGTCCATCACAGAGGGACAAACACTGTATGACTCCACTTATCTGAAATAGCTACAGTATTCAAGTGTACAGAGACCAAAGTTGAATAAGGGTTACCAGGAGTGAGTAGGAAGGAGGGGGGAATGGGGACTTCTTGCTTAAGGGATGCTGAGCTTCTTGGGTGATAGGAACATTAGGGAATGTATAATGCTAATGGTTTATAAATGTAACTCACATCACTGAATTGCACATATAAAGAATGTTGAAATGATAAATGATTTGTTACGTATTTATTTACCACAATTTTTTTTTTTTTTAAAGAGGAAGATGATGGGAATGTAGAATGGTGCAACTGCTTTGGAAAATAATTTTGTGTTTCCTCAGAAGGGCGGCCCTGTGACTCAGCAATTCTACTACCAGGTACACACTCAAGAGAAATAAAACATGCGTCCACACAAGAACTTGTCTACAAATGTTAACAGCAGTATTACTCAAACTAGTCCCAAACTGGAAACAAGCCAAAGGCCCACCAAGTAAAGAATGGATCAAGAAAATGGGGCACACTATACAATGGAATATTATTCAGCAATAAAGAAGAATGAGGCCCTGACACATGTCACATCCTTGAAAACATCATGGTAAGTGATAGAAGGCAGTCACAAAGACCATCTATGATATGATTCCACTGATACAAACTGCCTAGAATAGGCAAGTCTACCAAGACAGAAAGTAGATTAGTAGTGAGGTTGGCCCAGGATTGGGCAGTGTTTTATTCTGCTGTGCATAAGGTCGCTATGAGTTGGCGCCGACTTGATGGCACCTAACAACAACAATGAAGGAAGACTGAAGGGTAATGCAGAGTGACCGCTAAAGGATATCTCTCGGGGGTAATAAAATTCTTCTAAAATTGATAATGGTGATGGCAACTCTGGATAGACAGGATACACTGCTGAACTATAGGCTTCAAATGGGTAAACTGTGTGGTATGTGAGTTCCATCTCAATAAAACTGTTTAAATAAATGGAAGAAGGCTGCGCTCAAGAAAAGACACACATGCACACACCTACCCTTTGATAGGTTAAGTCCCTTCTGCCCCTTTGTGTTAATTGGAGTGAATAGCAGATGGGAACATGGTGGAACTCTGTCCCTGTGAGCAGTGAGCTGGGAGACGGAAGAACAGACTTTTAAAGGCTGAATTTACCAGTAAACGTAGGGCTCTCACTCAAGTCTTGCTGGTCCACAAATAGAGGCCTATCTCCAGCTGGCACAGCAGAACTCCATTCAGGTTTGCCTGTCTGCTGCGAAAAGACGGCCCACATTACCTGGGTCTACATGGGGACACTTGTCTACTACATGGCTTTGGACAGTCTGCTGTGGACCCAGGCACCTGCCAGAGTCCTGACAGGAGATGAACCTGGGCTGGCTGTTTGTGTGCCAAATGAAAACTATTGTAGCAATGGTTTAGGGACAGTGCTTTGGACTTTGAGAGCCAAAAGAAAACATTGGGTCAGCAGGCCACATGTAGTAAGGGCTCTCAGAAGGCCTAGGGTAGAGTGTGACCTGGGAACTCCCCCTGGTGCCCTGTCTGCTGTTTATTCTGGCTACTCCTTCTTCACAGAGACCCTGCCACACTGACTGCAGGGCTGGCCAGACAGGAGAGCAGCCCCTTCTGATGTGGATGTAGTCAAGGACTAGACCCCAGGTGGCTTGGAATGTGAGGCCCCTGCAGACATTCAGGGCTCAGGGGCTCATGGTACAGTGCCAGCGTCACTCAGCTGGAAACTAAAGCTCATCACTGTGAACTGTGAGAGCGTCAAGATCTGTGATGTGGATTTGATGGTGATGTAAGAGTGACTAACTTACTGAGTGCTTACCATGTAAGGAGTGTCTTCCTAAACCTGTGATGTGCTTCATCTAAACCCTTTCTCCCAACATGCAGAAGGTCATTGTGGTTAGGTGCTGTTCAGCCGGTCCTGACTCACAGTGACCCTACGCACAACACAACACAACACAACACAACACAACACAACACTGCCCAGTCCCCACCATCCTTACAATCGTCATCATGTTTGAGCCCACTACCACTGCTTTTGGGTCAATCCATCCTGTTGGAGATTGTCATCTTTTTCACTGACCCTCTACTTGACCAAGCACTTAGAGAGTAGGTACTGCTATTATCTTGATATGACAGGAAGAAAACTGAGGCACATAGGGATGAAGTCATTGCTCAAGGGTACACAAAAGTAAGCGGTCTAGCTGGGATTTGAGTTGAGGTGGCCTGACTCAGAGCTCAGGCTGGCCTTTGCTATGCAGGGGGGTCTTGGCCACCTTGTATCTCTGGGTCTCAGTCAGGAAGCGGAAAGTGCCCAGCAGGCAGGAGAGTGCTGAGGTAGCATACTACAGCCTTCCAGGGGAACTCTGCCTCCACCCCACAACAGAAAATGTCTGGTTCCTAAACTAGGCAGCTGCTTTTGCTTCCTCCTCATCTGAGCAAAACAAAAGATACCCTTCTGCCCAGGGGTCCAAGGAGATGAGCTGCAAAGGAGAACTTCATCTGAGGAAAACTCAGCTACCACAGAAACGGAAGCTCTTCTCCAGCATCTTGATTTTTTTTCTTAGGGAACTAAGAAGCTATGACAAATCATGGCATCAACTGTCACTTTTCCTATGTTTTTAGTCCTCCCAAAAAAGGCAATAAAAGAAAGAAAAAATGGTGCATCCAATACTAGTCGCCAGTGCTACGAGGCAAGTGGCATGAAACCATTTTCCCACTAGGACCTGTGAGCAGGGCAACTGTTGGTTTGTAGGTGGTTTGACTGTAAGATCATCTACTTCACACTTCCCAAAATTCAAAGGAGTAATGGCAGGGGCACTAGCGGGGTTCATTGCCACTGTGGCTCTTACTGTTTTTGTTAGCTGCTGTCCATTCAGCCCCCAACTCATGGTGACCTCCTACATGACAGCCAGAACAAAAAGCTGCTGAGTTTTCACTGGCTGATTTTTGGAAACAACTTGCCAGGTCTTTCTTCCCAGTCTGTCTTAGTCTGGAAGCTCCACTGAAAACCTGTTAAGCAACAATGTCACGTGGGGGGCAGCACCACATGAGGGGCACTGGCTGGGAATCAAACCTGGGTCTCCCACACAGAAGACAAGAATTCTACCACTGAGCTATTCTGCTGCCATGTGCCATGGAGTTGGTTCCGACTCATCAGAAAGCCTCATCTTTCTCCCGTGGAGTAGCTGGTAGATTGAAACTGCTGACCTTGCAGTTAACAGTCCAACACATTACCTACTATGCTACCAGGGCTCCTTTAGGAATCACCTTCGTTGGTGTTGTTAAGTGCTGTTGAGTCGCCCAAATGCCCCGCCATCTTGAAAATCTGCCTACTCTGCTGTGGAAAGAGGGCATGCCACTGAGCCAGGGGTGGATAGAGGGTAGCAACCATGTGGGGTAATTTCTAATTTGCATCCCTCCCCTAACTAGAGCGCCCAGGGACAATCTCTAAATTGCAGGCCCCATCCCCCACCAATTTCAAGATGAAGAAAAACTGACCACAGTGATACTACAGAAGAAATACCTTTCCCTTCTCCTGCTGCCTTGTATTTGTGGTGCCTGGAAATGTCATTCCACATTCCACATTATCAGGCAACCCCTTGGACTTGCACCTGGGGCAAGTATCATGCTTGAGGAAGGACGCTGGACTTTAAAGGATTAATAGACTCTGCTCAGTGGTGTTTCTTCTTCAAGTGGTGACCAGGACACTTGCTATACCTGTCATACCTTAGATGCACCTTGGCACTTGAGCCCTAGAGAAAAGGGCCTAGAATATATGCCCTCAGTCCCCACCTGGGGCTTCTGACAACTTTTAGCATCCTTGTTCTCATTTCCTTCTCTCCTACCCTGGGTCCAGCCCCCAGACTCTCAGTGCTGGGCTGAGTCCTGTGCAGGCACCCTCTCATTTTGTGACTCTCTCTCTGAATGAAGAGGCTGAATTAATCCTGCCCACTCTTGAACAAGCCTCCCAAAGTCCTGCTACATAAACAGATAACAAACAATAACACACAGAATCGCCTTTTCTGGTCTTACCTGTTCTCTTGAGCTTCCTTCCCTCTAGTTAGAAATTTAGGAAATACCTGTTGTTTATCCCCCTGCCCCCAACACACACACAATATTTCTATGAGGGTGCAAGAAACTCACCATTATCGAAGACCGTGCCTGCTGTGAATGAGAGCTCAGAGTCATGCTCAGCTTTGCAGGCGTATAAGGCTTTTGCCTTCCGGAACGGAGTGCTGTGTGAAAACAGGAATTTATTGAGCATTAATTTCTGAAAGTTCCAGACATTTCATCTCTCGTCTGTCTTTCCTTTAGAGTTCTCTTGTGAGAAGAGCCTGGCAATGCAGTAAGATGGCAAAACATTAGGCGGAAATTTGCAAAGGTCACAGGAGAAAAATGAGAAATACGCCGAGAAAGGCTCTTTCTCTGTGAGAGGCCACCGTATGCCATGTTCAAGTGTTGTCTAGGTGTGGCAACAGCTGAAGCAGGGGCTTGGATGGGTGGGTAGATGGGGGACATTTATAGAACTGGGTACTCCAGAGAAGGGAGGGTGCACAAAAGAACTTCTAAGCTGCTCTACAGAACACTCCCCAAAGCCTCTGCTGAGGGTTGGCAATTCTTAGTGAACCCTAAAGGAGACATCAGCTCTCCCAGATGTTCCTTGTTTCTCAGTGGGCTGGATCTTACTGGTGACATGACGCAGGATTCTGGAGCTGGAACTCCCTAACCCCAGGGTAGGGCAGGGAACAGAGAAGGTGAATGTGTTTGTGAGTACTTGCATGTTTATGTGTGTGCATGCATGTTTGTGTGGTGTGGAGAAAGATGAGAGAGGAGATTGGATGTGATTTAAAAAAAATTTTTTTCCCTCTCATATGCAAAGCATGTTGACAACAATTCTCACTGTGCATTAGAATCACACATGAGGAGCTTTTTAAAAAATTTCAGGTATCTGTGTTCTGTCCAGATTTGCAGATATAAATATAGGCATGCATCACTATTTTTTTAAAGCTCCCCAAGTGATTCTAACGTGCAACCAGGGCAGAGAACCACTGTTCTAGAGCAGGCGTTAATAAACCTTTTCTGTAAAGGTCAGATAGTAAATATTTTAGGCTTTGCAGTTGTGTGGTCTCTGTGATGACTACTCAACTCTGCACTGTAGCTCCAAAATAACCATAAACGACATGCAAACCAGAGTCCTGGTGTGGCGCTGTGGGTTAATGTGTCAGACTGCAAAGCCGTTTGAACTGCAAGGTTAGTGGTTCAAGCTCACCAGTTGCTCCTTGGAAACCCTATACAGGGTGGCTATGGGTCGGAACCGACTCAATGGCACTTAACAACAAAAACATGCAAACTAATTAGTGTGGCTGTATTACAATACATTTTATTTATAAAAATCAGGCGGTGGGTCAGATTTGATCCACAGGCCAGTTTGCTAACCCATGTTCTAACAAGTAACCTATAAGGGACCGTAAATTGTGTTACCTTGTCAATTTTTGTGTTAATATCTTGATGCTAGGGTATTCAACTCATTCCTAACAATCTACATCTCAAGAGCCATATGAAAAATGGCCATTATCTCTCAAAAACTGGCCCTTTATTTACCGAAACTGATCTTCTTCTTTCCCTAAGCTATCTGAGAAAGTACACGTAGGTCTCCAAGAGCAGAATCAAAAAAGCACAAGTCAATTTTCTGGGCTAGAAAGTTATTCAAGAGATAGGTATTATTTACTTTATCTTCTTTTGACTGATGAAGAGCCTCACTGAGCCAGGAATGCAGAACAAGGATTTCACAATGAGACTCAAAGGAGGCCTGGTCTGGCTTAGGTAAATCCTGACAAACCAGTTGGGGTAGGTGTCTTGGGGGTACTGTTGTTGTTGTTGGTAAGAGCCATCCAGTCACTTCTGACCCATAGTGACCCTGTATAGGGTTTCTGAGGAGTGTCTGGTGAGTTTGAACCACTGACATTGCATTTCAAGCTGACCTTGCAGTCCAGTGCATTAGCCCACAGCGTCACACCAGAACTCCTTTGGGGATACTACGGAGCTCTTATTTCTTAACATCAGCAGCTTCCTTTTCGGAAAGAGCCATGGGTGGTTGGAAACCTAACAATTTATGTTTTCAGGGCCGGGTATCTAAAAATTCCATGAAAATGAAATTTCATGGAAAAGGTTTGCTGAACAGGATGATCAGAGGAAGTGACCATGTTGAGTTTGTTGTCTGAGCAGTTTACTATTCTTTTTGGTTTTTTTAGTAGCAAGAGCCGGTGGCCAGGTGGGAGAAAATGAGGCTGGACTGTGAGCAACAGGCAGGAAAGAGAGGCTTGAAGCCTCATCTCCTCCAACTGGAAACCAGCTCTTTCTGTTTAAAGATCAGTATAATCACATGAAGTTCAGAATAAGAGGTGCATCCTGTGATCTAATAAGATCACGTCCATGTGTTGGCCAGCAAGGGCCAAATATCCAACTTTCCAAGGAGGAATAATTAATAGGGGATTATAGAGGAGTAACATGGTTATGGAAAGTGCTAAAAAGCAGAAAAAACATTGACAGTTGAATGGGTCTGGTATGAGACTGAAAGTAGAAGTAGGATCCACTCCATCCTAACTGAAGTTTTAAAGCCCAGGTTTCAAGCCAGCATGGCTGCCCCTGGAGAGCAGAGCAGGCTGGGAAAGAGCAAAGAGACCAGAGAAGGGGAACTGAAAGGTGAGGGAAATAACCTTTCAGGCAAGGTTCTTTGGGCTGGATTTTCATAGAGGTTATTTATTAACCTCATTAAACCAAGGTAACGGGAGAAATCAGGGGCAAGCCTGGGGAAACAGCTGGGGTACTTGGCAGGCAGAAAGCAAAGGGCAAAGGAAATGGTCTCAGGTGCCCAAGATTACCTTTCAGAGGAGTAACTTTCCATGAGTATGAGGCTTTTGTTATCAGATAATGAAGTAATGATACATATTGCATTAAAAACTAAAAGGTCAGGGGAGGATTTTTTTCTTGCAATTCAACAGGTGACTGACCACCTAATAAGAGGGTCTTTTTTTCTGAGACCTTGCCCAAAATGAGAACGATGACACAGAAGAGGTGCTTTTAGAAAGGACCACTCCAGCTCTCCAGGGGTAGGTCGTCAGATCAAACACAGTAAAATTTTAATTTTAATTTTAGATTAACAATGCACATATAGATTAAAAAACAAAAACAAAAACTTGTTGTTGTAATTAAGTCCAAACATTGCATGGGACTTAAAAAAAAAGATGTTTATGACAATTCAAATTTAACTGGGCATCCTGTATCTTTAATTTGCTAAATCTGGCAGCCCTAGCTAGGGGAAAGTTTTATCTTCCTTAAAAGTTTGTAGGCCCAACCAGTCTCGTTCCAATGCTAATTCCTCTCAACAGCCTTGAATAGTTTGTGGTAGGTAGGATTCCTACTAAAACAGACAGATCCTGTAGGAAGAAAGGTTGTGTTTATAGGTTTTGGCTGTGATTTAAAAAAAATGAAAATCCCCACCAGGCATTTTTGGTTCTCTGGCCCCTCAGTTCCCTTATCCTCCCTACTGCACCTCAAAATGGGGCACAGTGAGCTTGGGGTGGTTTCGCTGTTCCTTCCACAACGCCCTTCAGACCTCAGCCGGGTGTCAAGGGCATGAATGCATTTGGATCCTTCTGCCGGTTCATTTTTGATTTTTGCCTCTGACCGTGGCATGGGGCCAGGAGAGTACTCAGAGGAGTTTCCCTCAAATGCCCTTGCAAGCCTTGCAAAATGATGCTCCCCTTTGCCACTGTACAACTGGATGGGGGTGGGGCCTGCAACATTGGTAGGTGGCAACTGCCTGATTATTTAGGCACAATTTTCTGAGGCCCCTGAGCAAAGGCAAGTTGTGAGGTCTGGGCTTGGAGCTTTTCTGGGGATGGAAGTGACAGGAAAGGGAAGCATAAAGGCAATGCTCCCCCTGCCCCCTCTCCTGCTGAGGTGTAAAAGGCAGCTATCTTCATTTCTGAACTGGAAAGAACAAGCCTTCCAGAAGGTTCCAAGAGGGCAGAGGAAGCCATTTCCAGAGCAGACACTTTGTGGAAGTTCCTAGGGTCAACATTAAGCACAGAATTAAGTATTTATTTTTAAAAGCTTTGCCTGGGGAGAGAAAGCTGAAGTTTCTTGGTACTTTGGGGGAAGGCCAAATATGCATGCACTGTAAGATAAGCACAGGGCTGGGAACCACAAGGTCAGTGGCTCAAAACCACTAGCTGCTCCCTGAAAACCCTATACAGGGGTACTGTGAGTCAGAACCGACTTGATGGCATTTAACAACAACAATGAGCTCTTGGCAGTCACTGTGGTTCTTTAATGGACTGGCTGCCCAGAAATATCCCCGATTTGTGTTCTTATCACCCACACTTAGCTCCCAGTCCACTGTCCTGAGTTTCCTAACCCATTCTGTTCAAGTGCCAATATTCGATGATTTTACTACCTTTACATGAAAACAAAGGAGACTCAGTCTCCTAATGCCCAACTCTCTTTTAGGAGAGGCATTTTAGTAAGTGGTGGTCTCTGGTCATTATAGTTTTCTCTGGTCCAGGGCCTTGTAGAGCAATCAAAGATTTACCTATACCATATCCTGGTGTCCCAGAAAGTCTCCCCAAGTACCTGGGATATGTGAGTGAAATAATTAGGAAATAGTTAAAATGCTAGGAAAATATGATCTGCGTTTTTACCTTCTCCCCAGGATGAAGGAAACAAGAGTATATTGAGAAATCATCTTTCCTGTCTCCCTGGTAGAAAGCTGTATCAAGTCTATGACTCTGGAGCTGGGAGTTGCAAAGAAACAAAGTTGAGGTTACCCATATGTTTCTAGGAAAGAGTGTGGCGTTGAGGACAAGAAGACCTGATTTGTGGATTTGCTCTCATTTAGGTGTGACTTGCCTCTCCGTGCCTCCGTTTCCTTTTTCTAATAACAGGGTCAGGCCATTTCTCCTCTCACTCCCACATGAAAGTAGGGTGAAATGACAGATGTCAAGGTGCCTTGAGGAGAATAAAATAACATACGTATAAATAGCATGGGGTTTCTTTTTTTAAAAAAATTGAGACTCAGCTTTATAAATTATTAAAGCTTTTCAGCTGGAGCCATCCCTTAGGAAAAAAATCAGTTATGATTATATATGTATATTTGTTGTTATGTGCTGTGGAGTTGGTTCTGACTCATAGCGACCCTAAATAAGATTTCTGAGGCTGTAAATCTTTAAGGGAGCACAAAGCCTCATCTTTCTCACGCGGAACAGCTGGTAGTTTCAAACTGCTGACCATGAGATTAGATTAGCAGCCTGATTCGTAACCACT